AAACACAAGGAGAAGATTTTTCTCCAATATTTACACTTTAGACAGGAGGACACATTTTATACTCAAGTCCTAACAAAATCTCTAATCTATAACAGCATACATCTCAATTACTTTACTTTTATTAAAGTATTATTTACATGTAGTAATGGCAATAAATCAAAAGTCTGGATGATTATAGAGGTCACCTGACGAAAGTAGTTAAAAAAGAAAAGAGACAAAAGAACTTATTATAGATTTTACTGTTATTCTTGTTTAATGGACCCACCATTGCAACATGATTAATAAACCTTTTAAAACAATGTATTTAGTTGTTGTGGTGTGGAGATCACAAAGAGAGATCCAGAACAGAGGATGAATGAAGTAGAAATTTGACTGTTCTATCTGTATCCATCAAAATATATTAAATCAAGTTAGATCAACACTTTGGGGGATGTTTCCTGAAGAAATGGATAGATATAAATATAAAGTGTGGTCTCTCACCATATTTATATTTGAGGTTCCCTTTTACTGGGTAAATGCAAACGGAAATTCTGTGGGAATAACGCAGTGACTTCTATGTGCCCAGTTGAAAATGATTGGGTTTTTGCAATTTGTTTTTCTCTTTGAGTCTAATTGAACACAAAAGAGTAAGCCCCTCAGAGTGTTATTCACATGAATACTTAGAGACAATTTAAAAACTGAATTCTCACCTTTATCAGGAACCTAACACAGTAAGCAATGGAGAGGACAGTTCCAACAATACCAGCCATCACCGCAAAAATAATGCCTATTATCCCTTTGGGAGAAAAAGAAAGCAGATAATTACAAAAGTCAAATAAACTGCCACAATCAATTGGAAAATAAAACAGGAAAAATGAAGGTAATATCACCTTGTCTTTTTATAGAATATACATTAATTTATTTCATGTATATTTATCTATTAAAAAATTAGGTTTTTCACAGAACCACGTGGAAAACGAATTTTGAGTGGTAAAGTTTTTTGTCCAAGGTCACATGACTAACTAGTTAATGACAGAAACAAGATCCAAGGGTTTTGACCACAATTAACTAAGGGGAGGAGCTATGTGCAGCTTCTACTATGATACAGAAAAAAACCATAAACTCTCAGGTAGTTGGAAAACTATGACAGAAAATAATGTCTTAATGTACAAAAGAGCGTCAGACAGATCATGGAATCATAAATTTGGAAGGAAACTGGTATAAACAGTTCACAGATGAGAAAAAGAAGTCTAGTGACGTAAAGTTACTTAGCCTAGGTCAGACAGCTAGTTGGAAGTAGAGTGATAACTATAAACCATGTCACCAACATTCCAAGCTTGCGTACTTTCCATAGCATCTTAATGAATATTTTATAATATAGTCACAATAATATAGTCACTAAAAATATTTTTCAAATCTTTTACATGTTGAGAATGAAATAAAATTTTAATCAATTAAGTTACTAGTCATCTCTGTATATTAATACCATGTCTATAATGCTTTCAGTTGAAGTAAATAGAATGGAAGTCTACATACACAGGTGTAATATATCCTATTAATTTATATTATTAAATTAAGTGACTATTTAATTAATATCAATTAATATTTATACTGATTAATTTCTATTTGAAAGTCTATTATTAATTTTTTTTAAAAAATGTAAAAGTAGCTTTTCCTCTCACTGGTTTTATCCAGCCTTACTGTCCACTTAGCTATAATTTATTAGATAGTGATTCAGTTCTACAGCCCACTTTTCCTGTGTGAAGCAGGGACACAGGCCAAGTGTGAAGGGAGGACTAGAATGGTAACTGGTAAATGAGCACATAAATCCACTAAAGCCAGGTCTGCAGCAGCACCTGAAAGGCAAAGTGACAGTCACCAGCTATGGCAGGTTATGGAGACAGCCCCACTCTGGAGGGCTAGTGCAGGGACAAGAATGAGTCAGGATTGAGGATGAATGGTCTGCGCTTGTTTTTGATATGATGCCAGCTAATTAGAAGCTTTTAAGCTCCTTGCTTTCTTTACAGTGGGGAAGAAGAAAGTTGCATTGTTTTATAAGCTCTTAAGGAACTTTTCTTATGCACCCACAGTTAGTTAGAAACCCAAAAAACTCACTTAAAAGAAAAATAATTATTGAATTATATATTCCTATTGCAGAATGTTTAAGAGTATAAGGAATGCCTATTTTATTTAATTTTAAAAAGAGCATGTTTTGTTTGCCTTTACAATTTTGTGCAACCAAAGCTAACGCCATAGGTTCTTCTGTTTTTAAAATTGGTACTTATTTTTTTGAAACTAGCAGTGCATATTTAAAATGGAATGACTGTCATTCCACGTTAAATATTAACATACCTGGTTCAGAGAAAATGTGGTCAATCTGTTCTTTTGGTCCTAAAAAACACAAAACAATATTTCAAAAGAAAGGCAGAAAATGGGGTATGTCTTTAATGTGTTGAAAAGCAAAGATGTCACTTTGAGGACTAAGGTGCGCCTGACCCAAGCCATGTTATTTTCAATTGCCTCATACGCATATAAAATTTGGACTATGAATAAGGAAGACCAAAGAAGAATTGATGCCTTTGAGTTATGTTGTTGGCAAAGAATACTGACTATACCATGGACCGCTAGAATAACAAACAAGTCTGTCTTGGAAGAAGTACTGCCAAAGTGTTCCTTGGAAGTAAGGATGGTGTGACCTCGTCTCACATACTTTGGACATGTTATCAGAAGGGACCAGTCCCTGGAGAAGCACACCATGCTTGGTAAGGTAGAGGGTCAGCAAAAAAGAGAAGGACCCTCAACAAGATGGGTTGACACAGTGACTGCAACAATGGACTCAAACATAGCAAGGATTGTGAGGATGGCGCACGACTGGGCAGTGTTTCATTCTGTTGTACACAGGGTGGCTATGAGTCGGAACTGACTCGACAGCACCTAACAAAAACAGAAGAACTTTGGAATCAGATTTTTTCTGGGTGGTAGTAGTGGTACTTTTTCTTATCAGTGTTTTTGGAGTTATTGGTCAAACTTGAAGAGCTAGCTAGTAAAATGTGTTTCATAATATGTCAGTCTTATACTTAGTAAGGCCAATGCTGACTTTCAAATACTCAATAAATGTTCATTGGTCAGAAATTAGTAAGCCATCTCATTAACTAAGAGGGAGGATATGAGAAAGCATTGGAAGAACCACCTATCTACTTCCACTAGAAGCAGTGCGTATTTGAAAAACTGTAAAAATAGTGAAAAGAAAGGAGACACATTGAGCCATCAGACCACATAGACTCCTGTTGAACCTGAAAAGAGGTCATGTTTCTGTTGATTTTCTAGATTTATGCCACAGTCACTGTGTGAATCCAAACCCTTGTTGTATCTCAGCTGAGCTTTTATCAATAGTTCTACCGGATTTCCTGTCTTCAGGAGTTTCTAGTGCAGCCTTAATGCTTCACCAGAGTGAACCTCCCCTTTATCAGTTCACTTTTTACATTTCTTTTACATCATGAAGGGCTCTTACTACAAAATCCACAAATATTTCTTGAATTTAATTACTTTAAATAACATATCTGCGTACATTGTATCAGTCAAGGACTCTGTTATGTTCTATGTCATTCTTTCGGAGCGATGTGTAATGGTTAGTTGGGACTTGTCTTCTTCTCTGTGGCTGTAGATAGCTGTGAGCAGTGTACGGGCTTTGGAGTAAAACAGTTGTGGGTTTCAGTCATGACAAAGCCTTTTACAAGTTGTGTGGCCTTGGACAAGTTACCTAATGTCTTTATGCTTTAATATCCCCTAGGGAAAAAAGAAGATTATAATACCTAGCTCTTTGTGGTGCTGAGAGGATAAAATTAGATAATGCATGAAAACACTAGGACTGCCCTATGACGCTAGCCATTGTTCAAAGTCCACACGGCACGTAGCACTGTGTGTGTCCATAACAAGTAACCAGTTGTCACTCTAGCGCATGGCAACTCCATATGTGTCAAAGTAGAACTGTGCTCCATAAGGTTTTCAATGGTTGATTTTTTGGAAGTAGATAGCCAGGCCTTTCTTCTGAGGTGCCTCTAGGCAGACTCAAACAATGAACCTTTCAGCTCGCAGCCAAGTGCGTAAACTATTTGCACCATCTGGAAGGTGTGGGTCCAGAGTTGTCCCTAAAATGCCTTCTGGTTTCACACCATCATGTTGACTTCGCATTGAATTCACTTGAAAATTAGATTGTCTAGTTGGATCCAGCAGCCTTATAAGTAGTTCCAAGCACTTAGTTTAAATTTCCTCCCTTGGTTTCTGTCCTTCTTGAAATCTAATTCTTCTATTTATCTCAATAAATTTTCTCAACGTTTCTGTTAGTTTATGACCCCATAGCCACTTCAAGTCTTCTCTTAGGATTTATTTTATACTTGCAGCATCCTCCCTAAGCCCCATCACCAAAGAGTCTCTCCCTTTCTACTTTCAACCAGCAACTCTAATGACATCTCCCTAGAAAGATAACAGAGTTATGGTGAATTCTCCTGAGCCCACCCTTATCTCAGCACCCAGCTTGCCTTATAGCTGTCACTTACTTGGCTCATTAAGTGATAACTTAATAATTTATTGAGTTAGGCAGTTTTACATACATCTTCTTATTTAATCCTGAGGAAACACTGTGAGGTGTTTATTATTGGCCCCATTTTACAATTAAGGGGGCAGAAGCCTGGTGGAAAAATTCACCCAGGTTCAGCAGCTGGGAAAGAGCCCAGCCCAGGTCTGAGCCCATCTCAGTCTGACCTCAAGCCTTCTTCACCACCACACACAGGATCCCTTTAAGCTTGCTGGCCATTTCACAGTCACGTTCACCATTTATGTGGTTTGCTAGATTGTTTATAATTTCTCCATGTGGTGAGAATTTCTCTGGAGTTGAGACTGTCTATTCATTCAACTTCTGTTTCCCAGTGTTTGTCACAGTTCTCCCACAGCAAGAGTACCCATTAAATTCAGTTGTATCATAACAATGACTCCAGAGAGGCTATTTTAAAATATAGAACAAACCTGGGGTGGTTTGGGCCATAGTAGTAGAAAGTTGTACACCTGTTGTTTTAGTATTAGAAGTTGCTCCTGATGGGCTCTGTGAGAACAAATAATCTGTATGGAAGAGAAGTTGAGAATGGGGTCAGGAATGAGGTGACTGAGCAGGCCATAAAGCACATCACTAAAGACAAATTTATGCCACATCCATCCCAATGGTAGCTCTAAAATGTCTCCATAGGAGTAGCTTACAGATGAGGAAAGTGTGCCTTGGCTTTATCATCTGCAAAATTTATATACACACATGCATATGCATATAATTAAATTCCCTTATTCTTTCCCATTTAGGTGTAATGGTTTTTTAAGATAATATAAGAGTAAGCATTTTTAAACAATAACCTGATGACAGGGCTTTTGAGTTTCAGCAAATCTTAATACATACATATACACATTCACATACACATACATATGTATATATATATGTATACACATATATACATGTATATGTGACAAGAATTTGTTTATCTCCCAAATGAACAGATAAAATTCATGTTCCAAAACTGTCTACAATGTTAAATCTTCTTTTATAAATTATGTATTATATTCTCCTT